GTATTCTTATTATACCAACTGTAAAATTCCACAATATCACCAACTTGCTAACATATTTTCTACTAGGATTTTAAATGTGTCACTGTTCCCTGTGTGTCACTGTTCCCGCCTCTCCCTTACATATAATTGTTGGACGAACTCAAGATTCTTCAACTCCTTCATGTTAAATTCTTCAACTCCTGATAGAAAACAAAGTAAAAAAATAGAGAAAATACAACAGACTCGCGAGTTCTTGGTGAAATTTCAATTGAACAAATGCCTGTGGTTATTTATGAAGGACCAAGTACAAGTTTCAATTTCCAACAGAAGATTCAGATAATTTTGGAGATTGTAGATAACGTTGAACCTAATGATGAAATGCTAATTGAAAATGTAGAAGAAAACATTGAAGAAACTACAGTTTGTAGTTGAATGATATGGTATGGAGTTGTCCATGAAGAATGTATCACGGCTGCGGAAACACACTTCACGATGCTTTATAGTCTTTGTATAGTACCCAAATAAACATCTATGTCATTAAACTAAAAACTCAACAAACTTTAACCAAATAAACGATATTACAAGAAAATTCCACAAAAATATACACACGTGCAACAACAAACGTGAATATCGATTTCTGCTACACTGCTACAAGCCAAGGCGATTCTGTTGACCTTAACATTATACAAATCTATGCACCAACCTTTGACAAGCCTGAAAATTAAGTAAAAATATTGTACAGAGAGATTCAGGAGTTAATGAAACTAATCAAGAAGAACCAGACTCATAATAATGGGAGATTTCAATGCGAAGGTAGGGCGAGGACGTGTTGAAGATGTCGTGGGTGACTTTGATTTGGGAGTTCGAAACGAGAGAGGTGATATGCTAATCCAGTTCTGTCAAGAAATAAAATTAGTCATTGCGAATATCTGGTACAAACTGCCACCTCGGAGACTCTACACTTGGCAGTCTCCACAACATACGCATGACAACATCGTAAGAAATCAAATTGATTTTTTATTGATAATCACAGATACAGAAATGGATTTCAAGGAGTAAAAACGTACCCTGGAACAGATATCGTATCTGATCACAATCCCGTAGTAGGAAAATTGAAAATTAAGCCTAAGAAATTAAAAGAAAATCCATAAAGAAAATTGGTATAAACAGCTTAAAACAACCTAACGTTAAACTAAAAGTCACAGAAAAATTAAATGAGGCAATAGCAGATATCACGGCAAGATCTAAACAACCAGCAAGTATAGGAGACAAATGGAATTGTATTAAAAAAGCTATCGCAACCACCACCGAGTCTGATCGCTTCCCAAAAGTACAAAAAGAAGAATTGGATGACTGACGAAATATTATCAATGATGGACGACCGCAGATCATTTAAAAACAAAGACAGAACCAAACATCAGCAGATTAATCGACAAATACGAAAAGAGTGCCGCAAAGCTAAAGAACAGTGGCTGCTAGAAATGGAGGAATTGGAAGAAAAACATGACCACTTTAACATACATAAACTCGTTAAAGAAGTGACAAATTATACAAAACCTTGCAGTTTTAACAGTATTGTGAAGGACACTAAATTACCCAAGGATCTACTTCAACATTGGAGAAACTACACACAGCAACTATACTCACGACAACACTAGAAGAAACTCTGAAAGTGAACTCTCCCCTAAAAATAGAAGTCAGAAGTTTTAAGGGCAATCAAACAGAGCAAATGGGGAAAAGCACCACGCCCAAACGACATATACATAGAGGTTCTAACAATGTTGAGTGAAGATAATATAGACGCCTTGGTAGATCTTTTTAATGACATTTATGGTCCGGTCAAATACCACAGGATTGGCTTCAATCAACTTTTATACCAATCCCAAAAAAGCTAAACGCTAATAGTTGCGACCAATTCCTAATTATCAGCTTATTGAGTTAGGTCCTAAAACCCTTCTTAAAGATAATTATTCACACAAGAATATACAACATATGTGAAAGAGACATTAGCCCCACACAGTTCGGTTTCAGACAAGGATTTGGCACAAGAGAAGCACTTTATAGCTTAACTGTTCTACTTCAGAAAGTAACAAAAAGATGTCTTCCTATACTTTATAGATTACCAGAAAGCGTTCGATTGTGTTAATCATTCAGAATTAGTAAGATTGCTCCAGGAACGTTCGATAGATGAGATTGACCTTAAAATCATAAAGAACCTTTATATGAATCAAGTGGCATCTGAGAGAGTAGGACTGGAAACTACATCATATTTCTCAATCGAAAAAGGTGTACGACAGGATTATGTTTTGTCACCCCTCATTTTTAATCTATACTCTGAAACGATTTTCTATAGGACCTTAAGTGACACTGAAGATAAAATCAAAATCAACGGCAGACTATTAATAATCTTCGCTATGCTGATGATATAGTCATAATAGCAACGACTAATAGATAGAATAAATACTGAAGGAGAACGACTGGGCTTGAAGATTAATATAGACAAGACGAAGGTAATGGTGGTTAGTAGAACACGAAATATGCAATTAAATATAAGAGTAAACAATAAGAACATCCAAAAGGTCCCCAAGTTCAGATATCTCGGTAGTTGGATAACTGAAGATCTAGATCCAGACATAGAGATACGTAGCAGGATTGAGCAAGCCAGAACAGCATTTACCAATACGAAAAACTTGCTAAGCAACAGCAGCCTTAATTTAACGCTTCGATATCGCTTTGTAAAATGTTACATTTACTCCATACTGCTATATGGTGTAGAAACCTGGATTATAAAGGTCAATATCATGAACCGATTGGAGGCCTTTGAAATGTAGGTATTTTAGAATACTACTTATTCCCTGGACAGATCACGCAACAAATGTCGAAGTATATAATCGAATGGACAGAGAGCGAGAATTGCTGTCAATAATAAAAAGAAGAAAAACTGCTTATCTGGGTCATACATTTCGAAATTCCAAGTACTAGCGCTTAAAGCTTATTATGGAAGGGAAGATAGAAGGAAAACGAGGCATCGGAAGAAAGAAATACTCATGGCTTAAAAACATAAGGCATTGGACAAACCTCGATGCCCATGCACTCTTTAGAGCCACACAAGATTGAGAGGAGTATGAAAGAATTGTCGCCAACATCCACTAATTGGATATGGCACCATAAGAAGAAAAAGAAAATTCAATTTTTTAAACGCACTTAGGACACTCACTAGTTTAGAAAAACCCGCGCAGCAAATTCAAAACTAACGGGAAAGTAAGGAGGTAAGGTGGTGTTAAGAGATGCGTGATTCGGTGGTAGAAAGATTTGTGTAGACGTGGTTGGGGAAAAATGTTATTAATCGATTAAGGTGATCATATTGTAAGGTGTGGTTGTTAAGATTTGCATTTTATTTAATTGCGTAGGTTAACTTTAAGTACATTCTTCTTCTTCAGTGATGGTTTAACTGCTTCGCAATACAGGCATCTTCTTTTTTAGTTTTAGCTTTCTTGATGTGCGATCGGCACACAATATTATTACATTTAGAACATTTGCTTTGATACTTGCAATCTTTCTTCCTTTAGAAAAAATGGCACCTTCCTTTTCTTTTTGGTTGAGATGAATTAAGTTCTTCCACGTTGTAATAATCTTACAGTTAAGTACACTAAAACATAACTATTAACGGCAATAGGCAAGCTGGCACAAAGAAAACGATACAATGGGGAATTCTTCATAAAAAACACGTTTGAATAGAAAGTCCTCTTTATTAAATTATTCATATAAAAACTAAAATAACACTTGTGAATGCTAATGGAGATATAATTCGTTCATATTTTTTAGCTGTAGTCAGTTCGATATAAAACATAGTATCTAAAAAAAATACAAAAAGTATACTTGTCTTCGCAGATCTCTCTAAAAAATTCCAAGTATATAATATCGAATGATGAATCTTACTAAGTTATAAATATTTTTTTACATGGATCGTTAGTTTGCATGAGGGGTGGCTGCAATGTAACGAGATGGATCTTCCACTGCAAAACTACATCCAGCTATAAAAAATATAGAATGTTACCGGCTAACTTGGTGTTAATATATAAAAAATAACGATATTGGTTTTCCACAGCAAAAGGGATACATGACATGTCTTATTGTTTTTACCAATTCTTTATGTACTTGGTATACTAAAAATCTGCACTTACTAATTTATTTTATATAATACACAGTGACACGCAATGTTCATACAAATGTTTTAGTTTTTAGGTTTCATCTCATCAAATAAAAAAGTAATCTATCTTGTGAAAAAGTAGTAAGCGCACAGTTACTTTTGCAGTCGAGTATTTTTTTATTATTTTTAATTTTCATATTCAATGTAAAATTGCGTCGGCCAAGAGTGATTGGGTTGCGAAACCGTTAAGTAGGTTTGTCTAAATCTGTCTTTCAAAGTTGTAGAAAAATATTTCGGCAAATCAACGTGTCGCTATTTTACATTTTTATTTCAAGAAAAGATCTTAACTATAAAATATACAATCCAATTTAATCGAAGAAGGTTCTTACAAGTATTCTGGTCCTTCGAGCTAGATTTCTAAACTTTTAGTTTAAGTACATAATAAATCAAGACCTCGAACTAAAAAAGACTTGACAGTAGGCACGACTAGTCTAGTGTAACACGAACGAATAAAGAAATACTATTAAAAAAATAGATTTTTTTGGTGAAGATGGGCCTTATAACCTGAAATCACACTGATGTGAAGTATTTAATAAATCACTAGTGTGTTTATGAAAACAAACAAAAAATATCTCAGCTATGAGTGTAACCCGAGAAAAATATGTTTTGTGAAATTAATGACATTTTTGCAATCCGACCCCTGAAAATACAAAACCCAGAAGTAAGTTCCTTGTAAATAACCAATAAATTGAAAAATCCATCAGTCGATTATACAGCCTTATTTACTAACTTAATTTCGTAGTATCACCTTATCCTAATACGAACGTGTGAAAAATACGACTCTTACACAATACCGACGGTAAAATGCAACCTATTCCGTTTCCTTGTTGTACACTTCCATAATTTTTTCCATTATTTCCCAATGTTTCTCTTTGGGAAGATCTTTAACAAAAATATTGTACCAGGCCTCATCGTCGGTGTCTTCTATAAGAGGTAATTGTATTCCATAACATTGAAGAGCTAAAGATATACAAGAGATGGCTACGTGGCGAGGGTCATAGTCAAGGATGCTGGGATCGTGATGGTAGTCCTGAAGGAAAGATGCTGCTGCTCTTGCTACTGGGACGCTTTCCAACTGTTCTTTACCCAACCACCTGAAAAATTATAATGTCTGTATTAAAAAGGCTCTATAAACTATTTACTAATATGATAACTTATTGAACAACTTAATTCATGTCATGAAGCACAGACCAAAATATATCTACTGATTATGAAGTTCAGGGACCAAGATCCGACGGAAAAGGCACAGGTAATCAAATCGTTGTATCTTCCAGGTCCAACTAGGACCTTCCAAATCCATAAAATTTGTAAATGGGGTGTAACAACTTTGTATGAAGCTGTAAAAATCCATAATTATCTCAAAGAAAGGCGAAGACTCTCAATATATACTATGAGAATAAGTGAAACGCAGTGGAAAGATTCTGGTAGTTGCGACCTTGATAATTACCGGATTTATTATTGGGTAACCGAAATAAGGAACACAAATCTGACAAGATAATTTAAGAGATATATGGTAATATTGCCGCTGTTATTAGAAAAGTACCTAGGGCAATCTAAACCTGATTATCGATGACTTCGAGACTAAAATGGACAACGGAAAAAGTAGAACAAGGAAGGGCTTTTTAAGAAATGAGCAACGTGAGCAGTGGGTAAACTGTATCATGGGACAACTATTTATACTTATGGATATTCTTTAATCCACGTCAACTATGTAAAGTTGGTCAGGCGACCCCTCTCGGTTTGGCTTAAATTTTACAGGCGTATTCTATACTATAAAATATAATGATTTACCATATTTCAGCCTTCTAGGTCTAAAATAGCGATCTCCTATCGGTAATTAAGCTTTTTTCAAGTAAACAATTTTTTCGCGAATTTTATCACTTTGTCTTGCATAGGGAAATTTAGATGCTCAAAAAAATATCCAACCATTTAAGAATGGTCGCTGTAAAGTATCTAGAATTTAAACTAAACTTGTCTATCAATCGAATTTTACAAAAAGGTTTGGAATTTTTTTAGAACAAGCTATAAAGCTTTCGATAATAAACACGTTATCAAACTACATGTTTTCCAATTTGAAACCTGATGGCACTAAACGAAGCGACCATTCTTAAATGGACCGCAGGAGTGTGACGTCACGACTGTCACATTGTCATTATTACTTTCCACACAAAAGGTGAAATGTCAAATCTCAAGACTTTTTAATATCGATAAAGTTAACATTTTGCTTCCTCTGCTGCTTTTTCTTGTAAGCATACTATTTTTTACAATAATTCTGAGTTCTATTTCTATGAAATATAGTTTAAAAGTTTAAATTAAAGAAATACTAACCTTACTTTATTGATACATGCATTTCATAACTATTAGCATAAAACAATGTGCTTTATTATTTACACAACCTTGTAAAATTGTTGTAGTAACTATTAGAATACTTAAATACTGCAAAAAGCGGAAAGATTCTATAAAATAAATGAAAAAATAACTAAAAATACAAATTATCCACACTAAACAAGGTTTGTTTGGAAAGTGAAACTGACAGATGTCAATAAAATATACGTCATCACTCCTGTGGTCCATTACCCAGTCGTCAGAGACGAAAACGCCACTGAACCTCTAAAAATGATACTAACCAGCTGAATTTTGCCGAAAATGTCAATTATAGGACACTAAAAAGAAGCAAAAAAGTTTACCACTTTCACATCAGAGCTTTCCCCTAAAACTCCTCACGTAGAGGGGGAAAACGAAAAAAAAATCGATTTACCAAGAATATGTACGGCATAGAAAAAAGATGTTCCAAATAGAAAATGTATCTAAGATAATTTTGAACAAAAATGTTTATTAGCATTTTTTGTAAAGAACGAACCATTTTCTTAGAAACAACGAATGAAGCGATTGGCGATTTTGAATGTCAGTTACACGTACATAATCAATGTTTAATAAAATTTGTATCAGCTAACGGTAAAAAATTAAATATCTTTATATCTTTTAATCCAAGTGTATTACCGATAAAAATCAAAATGCGTTTTAAAGGTGAAGAGTGCATCTTTTGCCACAAATGAACTCCGTTTTTACAAAGGTGTTAAATAAACTTGGCGCGATTTGTGCCATTTTTATGATTCTCATGAGATCAATACAATGTATCCCTTTCATTGATCGGCCACTATGGAGTTTCTATAACTAAAACCTAATCTTCAAAACCTATAGCATGACATTTTAGTTTTGAGTTTTGGCAACAAATGTGAGGCTGTAAAAATATGCTTTAATCTAAAACGTTTAAAACTGCTTTTTTTAATTACACTAGTACGTTTTTCAAATGTACTTAACTTCTATTAAACTGGGAATAAGCCACAATTAAAGATAAAAATACGTTTATTGACATTTCAATTTCCACTTCGGAAATCGTTCTCAAAATACAAACAGTAAATTAAACAAATTTTGTTTTTTGTTACATAGTGAAAAATTCTTCTAATAATTTAATTTTATCTGACTCATTTATATTGACAATTCAGACATACATTATGCATTTTAAAGTAGACGACTTTAAATTGATATTCCCAATATTGTTGAGTTGCGCTCCTGGGACGACTTTACTTATAAGATAGTTCATTCGATTACATGAAATCACCTTTAACTTGAGAATATCCGTCAGAAAAAAATCATAGCATGTAATTCGTCTTTAAAAAGACAAACACATGACAGGATGACAGTAAAATTCTCCTGTTAGTGATTCCATAGGAAATTATGAGGGAAAAACCAGGAAAAAAAAACCTCATAATACTATCCCGACATTGTAAGTATTTGTTCGTGAATTTAGTTTACCTTCAACAAACATCAAAATTCTGATTTTATATGTTACGTTATTTAAAAAACATAAATGATGTATCCTCTATATGTTACTGACTTACTAATACTGGTATTTTCTTATTAATAACTTCCTCTTTCAATATTGGTAACCAGATCCTACTACATTCTGCCGAGGAATTTGCGACACAATTGGCCTCATTTAGCATAATTAGAGCCGCTTCTTTGATTTTTCTTTTTTTACCATCCGTTTCTTTTAGGACTACATTTGAATTATTCCATTGAACCCTATGTTCATTATCCCATGTTTACAGATTTGAGATCTATCAAATTCTCTATTTTTAATATAAGATTGATGTTCACTTATTCTAACATTTAATGGCTTGATGATTCACCTAAATAAAACTGATCGCATTCACAAGGTATTTTATAAATGCAATTCTTTGTCCTTTCTTGTTCATTGTTAGGTTTGGTTTTGGACAAAATAGATCTCAACGTGTTTGTTGTTTTGAATGTTGTTGAAATGTTGAATTTATTTCCCATCCTGTTAAGTTTTTCTGATAGTCCTTTTATGTACGGTATTGTTATTTTCCTCATCTTATTCCTTGTGTATGCTGTAGGATCTCGTTCTAAGTTGTTCTGTTCTATTCGATCGATTGTTGAAAATTCCTTATTTATAAACGATAAAGGATAATCATTTTTTAATAAAACAGATGTTAACAAATGTTTCTTGGAATGAGGTGAAGGCCTTAGTGCAAAATAGAACCCGATGGCGCGTTTTCACTGAAGCTCTATGCTCCACTTAGGAGTTCAAGAACCTTATATATATATATATATATATATATATATATATATATATATATATATATATATATATATATATATATATAACAAATGTTTCTCCTCCAAGAACGAATTTTCGTTGATTTCAACAACATTCAAAACAACAAACACGTTGAGATCTATTTTGTCCAAAACCAAACCTAACAATGAACAAGAAAGGACAAAGAATTGCATTTCTAAAATACCTTGTGAATGCGATCAGTTTTATTTAGATGAATCATCAAGGCCATTAAATGTTAGAATAAGTGAACATCAATCTTATATTAAAAATAGAGAATTTGATAGATCTCAAATCTGTAAACATGGGATAATGAACATAGGGTTTCAATGGAATAATTCAAATGTAGTCCTAAAAGAAACGGATGGTAAAAAAAGAAAAATCAAAGAAGCGGCTCTAATTATGCTAAATGAGGCCAATTGTGTCGCAAATTCCTCGGCAGAATGTAGTAGGATCTGGTTACCAATATTGAAAGAGGAAGTTATTAATAAGAAAATACCAGTATTAGTAAGTCAGTAACATATAGAGGATACATCATTTATGTTTTTTAAATAACGTAACATATAAAATCAGAATTTTGATGTTTGTTGAAGGTAAACTAAATTCACGAACAAATACTTACAATGTCGGGATAGTATTATGAGGTTTTTTTTTCCTGGTTTTTCCCTCATAATTTCCTATGGAATCACTAACAGGAGAATTTTACTGTCATCCTGTCATGTGTTTGTCTTTTTAAAGACGAATTACATGCTATGATTTTTTTCTGACGGATATTCTCAAGTTAAAGGTGATTTCATGTAATCGAATGAACTATCTTATAAGTAAAGTCGTCCCAGGAGCGCAACTCAACAATATTGGGAATATCAATTTAAAGTCGTCTACTTTAAAATGCATAATGTATGTCTGAATTGTCAATATAAATGAGTCAGATAAAATTAAATTATTAGAAGAATTTTTCACTATGTAACAAAAAACAAAATTTGTTTAATTTACTGTTTGTATTTTGAGAACGATTTCCGAAGTGGAAATTGAAACGTCAATAAACGTATTTGTATCTTTAATTGTGGCTTATTCCCAGTTTAATAGTAATTAATTTACAATGCCACAAGAAAATAGCTTCAGAACAGTACCTAACTTCTGTTATAAATTACACCTAAAACCTTCTTTTTAGAGGCATTTGCGTGACGTGCGATTGTTTGTATTGTAAAAGTTTTTTTTATTTAGAAAATCGCATCGACCAAATGGCTATTAGCGAAAAATTAATGGATTACATTAGGTACACTACAATTTGGTTTACTATTAAATATTATGGTACTTATTAATGTCTTTAAAGAAATTCAAAGTATTTTTAAAATTACAGTCTGTACCTAGAGCTTCTAGAATTGTTCCTGTTATCTTGTTGTTGCTTCGTTGTTGATTGTAGAGGGGACATTCACATAGTATGTGCCTTATTGT